GGCTATTACGGCCCAGTCAGTACATGTAAATATCACATTGCTAAAAAAAAACTATGCTAAAAAACACATAGGTACACACATATATAGGCACAAACATGCAAAGAATAAAAGAGTATAAGTCAAAGTTTGGACCTGAAATTTTAACATTACGACGTAATGACCTCTATCTGACCTCAGGTCAGTGTCCTAAAAAAGCCCGACCTATATGTTATACAACTCGGTGAACTTAGCACATCCTGAAAGTTTGAAGGAAATCAGTTCAAAACTGTGAGTTGTACAGGTGCAAAAAGAAAATTGAAATTTGACCATGACCTTGTACCGGTTTTTCTGACCTGGTGACCTGACCCAAGGTCACTTGGACCTGAAATTTTAAGGTCATATGTAAAAAAGCTGCCCCATAGACTGTGCCAAATTTGGCGGCGCTGCGCGCTGCTGTTTTTACGCTATCTTCGAAAAGCCTTAGGGGGGGGGGGGGGGGGGGGGGGGGGGGGGGGGGGGGGGGGGGGTTCGCATCGACCCCCCTGCCAGGGCGAGGGTTAAGCAATCTAAATATACAAAAATAATGATTTCACACTTCTATGCCCGTTCATCCATGTTTGAAGCGAACGAATCCTAAACGTTGAAATACAAAAAAGCACATGTACAGCCAACATTACAAAGCCAGAGATGATATGTTCTAAACTCGTTGCAAAAAAGACACTCACACTTGTCATAATATGGGCTCAGTCAAAATTCGACACAGGACACGAAAACACCGAATAACATGATGCGTGCTACAGCACAGCTAAGACAAAAAACGACTCAGCTTATTGCGTTCTTATTGCAATTATTTTCTCGTAGTCGGTCTCTTTATCTTGAGGACTTTGAAGACACTCTGTAGGGAAGTTCGAAGCCAAACCCGCTATTTTGGTCACAAAAGTCTGCCACAAAAGTTACAACGCTGTTAAATCGAAGGACATCAAACCGATCAATAAAACTAGCGCATAGCGGATTTGTTCAATGTCTGAATCTACCGCTTATCTCAGTGGGTTTGGAGGGCCAGCTCCACGCCGAGACTAAATAACAGGACCGTTATAACAGCAGGTCCTGTAGATATGTGTGTTAACCTGTCATCTCTAGTGCTGCTGTAAGCGACGAGCTCAGATAAGGAACTGTACTGAGCATCATCAGAAGCATCTGATATGTAATTAAATGGGCCAGCACGGAGTCAAAAAAGATACTTTTTAGTTGATCTCAGACTGATATACATAGGCATGTAGTGTAGCTAGTGAGACGAATTTAATTTCTCCTTGGAGGACCACCAAGGAGACCAATAATAGTTTTTCTTTTTTACCACTTTTCTTTTATTGGTCAAATGACCCGCCTTAGACCTCTGTACACCTCTGCACACCAGTTACTGTCGATACACTTCTGTACTGTCAGTGGATCCACTAATAAAAGTTGTCAAACAACTTCTTGAAGTTCTAGCCTTTCTGTTGCTTCACCTCTGCTGTACAACAAATCCTAAAGCAAGAGCTCTGTTAGATCATGGATATGCATTTACAACAACTCCAGCGACTGCATTCATCTTATAGGAAATTAACAAGTATTTTTAATCAAACTGCACTTGGATACTTATTCATTCTGCTGCATAATCACTACGAGTGTCATCCACCCCGGTCACTCACGGAGTGACCGGTCGAGTGTCCGTGAACCTGACTCAGTAGAGTGACCTTGTAAACGGCCCCTGCAGTCGCAACCGGGAAGGGAGGGGGGGGGGGGAGGGGCAGTCATGGCGTCAGACGCACTGCGGTCAGGGACCACGATGACAGCCTGCGGCGCATCACGTTGGCAGGCTGTGACAGGCTGCATTGACAGGCTGTGGCGGGCCGTGTTGACAGTGTGCATGTAGGGATACGTTGGCAGGTGTGTCTGGGCCGCGTTGTCAGACTCTAAGGCTGTGCCGGCTGATATTTGTTATAACTGGAATATTGGAATATCAGCGAGTCACAAAGACGATAGCAGGTGACGGGAATCGCTCGACCAAAACTGGTAAATACCCGTGGTATAAACAGCTCGCGGCTTCGTGATGTGACCTTGCCATTAGAGGAGCTAGGTGTAACGATTTGAACATGGCTATCTCACGCTGCATTTGACCGGTGGCAGCGGTGGTGAGTGCTGACTTGCGATTCGCTGCATGTAGATAATTATTTAATTGGCTTCTGAATGGTACCGCAGAAACAATTTTGCTGTCATTTGTGCGGTGCCACGAAGCTGCAACAGGAAGGAATCATGTATTTGCATCCCTCACCGGTATGTTCATGTGCCAAAACAGTACTTTATTTGGACATCAAATCTGACCTTGGTGTTCAAATTTCATGGGCGATTTCATTCCCTTGTTCACCATCGACAGTTACTTACTTGCAATGAGATTGCAGTTTTGAAGTGAAATGTTGCCTGTCATGTTGCCGAAAGAATATGAATATGCAAATCGTCTCGAAACGATCAAACATAATTACCTACTAAATACTTCCCTCCGCTCTCAGAAGCCAGAAGACACACATTTTTACAGGGAACCAATGCTGCCTTTTCCAGTGCAGATGTGAATTACTTCATGATTCACTCTCCCGTGCACTCCCTCCCGCGGAAACTCTCTCCTGGCTCTCCGCTCTCCCCCACCAGACCCACAAGGAGGCCGGTACAGAACTGGTCACTGGTTCGTGCTCGCTCAGGAGAATCGCTAGTTTATGACTTGTCTTGTCGGTATGTGGTTATACGGGCTGGGGACGATATTCTGAGACATGGCTGGGGACGAACAGAGACTGAGGAGTGGCGAGCTATAGTCGGCAGCTGTTACGGGTGCTTTGGTGATCGGTGCATCGATGAATTGTGATTTGTAATTTGCAATTAGAGCTTGATGATCGCTCCTTAGTTATTGGTGATCGCTGATCATTTCTGAGTGGCGAAGGTGACTGATTTTTGTTTAGTGACTTTAAGTTAACAAGGACTTTTTTTTTTGCTGGCGATAAGTACAAACTGATAAGTGAGTAGTGAAAAGTGATCGATGGTTGGTGACACCTCGCTGGCTACTGTATAAAACACACGACAGACGCACCGGCCCGGCGTAGTCTTTAGAGCCCTAATTGGCAGCTAATTGGCTATAATGATTACTAGGTATGAACTCTAACTACGCAATGAGATCAAAAGGATTAATTGATTATGCCTATGTAGATAAATAGGGAAAAGAAAAAGAAGATACACATAGGCCATAAAGGCTAGCCAAGCCAATCATAAATCAGGATGCTAGATACTTGATAGTCATTTAATATTCTGTATCGACATTGTGCTCCACTAAACCATGACAAAGTCGAGCGTTTGAGACCTTTAGGCATTCGTGAGACGCATTAAAATTCAGCTTTGATACAGCTATTCCGCCAAGGCATTCATTCCGTTGGAATCAGTGATCCGTGTGATCCTGTCAAACGTCAGCAGAAATTCCCACGTGCGTTTTAGTCGGGTGGATTCCAATCCTTCGGAAACCTGTTCAGTTTTGCTTGCCGTAACATCAGTTGCTATGACAACAGACCTAAGTTGGAGCAAGCTCGATTCATGCGGTACGATGAATTATGCCGGTAACTGCAGCTGTTATCTCGTGTAATAAACGCTTTCCTGTGGCGTTGCTATAAAGACGAGCTCCATGTCAGTTGACTGAGACTAACACACGAGCTTAGTCATATGACTGATTGCCCCATGGTTACTGGGTAGCCAGCGACCTTCGCTGGAGGATCTATGCAAGATTACGCATCACATTCGTGACGATCCGTGAGAAATCAAAAATGTTATTCCAGTCGTAATTAGCATGGACTGCGCGCATGGAGTTTGAGGACGCATCAGCTAATGACACGTCCAGAGTTTTATATCAATAGACGAGAGATTGAAAAGATTAAAGAAAGTACTTATAAATCAGCCACAGCTCCTGGGAACTCTTCAATGTTGCATTCGGTAGATCAAGGTCGCAGACATTTTTCTCAGAATTACTGTCGGTTTCAGATGGCATGTACAAAACTGCGTCTACCGCAACTCCAGACAAAATGCAGATATTTCTATGACAAACAATTCTAGGGACATTCCAAGTGCCACGCCAGGCATTTGCCGTTAGAAGCAGGCTTTGTAGGTTAGGTTTACCAAAAATATACCTACCGATGAAAACTGACCGAATTGCAAGTTGCAACATCGAGCTTGCGAGTTATTTTGCTGGCTGAGCGTGCGTGCCTAGCGCCTAAAACGCCCACCACTGAATATTTGCCTGCAATCAAAGGGTAGCGTCGCTTGCCTCAGGACACTATTCCGGAAACGCACAAGCAATCATCCAACACAAATGTAGCTTCATTTAGCATAGACAGCCCTCATTATGAAATCAAATATAATTAGGAATGAGGCAAGCCCTGTGGTCTTGTGCTTGCATTGGTGGAGCCACACAGCAACCATCGCAATCTTCTTGAAAGAAAACAGCCTAAATGGCTAAAGCACGCACACAGCATTCGCTTGGGGTGGTGTCAAAATCACTAGCGCTGCCCAAGTTGGCTGTAGCAATAAGGGTACGAAAACCAACAAATTTGGAAAATTACAGAGTAGCCGCTGCCAGCGTCTTGAGGTGTTGTGTAATCTAAAAGCGCTGTAGCGTTGGTTGATGCTTATAGCTGTTGCTATGTCAGTTGGCTCGTTTTTGTTTTCTGCTGCCTTCGCCCAACAATCACAAGCGAGTTATGACGTTATGCACCTTAACCATAGGGGATAGTTTGACATAAAATGGCTTGAATTCCGACGATATCGTTACATTTAATTACATATAGATAATGTATATTTGGTATCGTTGTAATTATGCATGCTGTAGAAAGTCACTTCAGAAAAAAAAATGCCCAGGTGCACTCCCTGGTAAGCCCGTTGCTGCACTTCCTACTCATATTCTAAGAGGGTTACTCGAAAGTCTCTTTTGACCGTCTCCCCTATCTCCGTTACAGATGCGGCGTCACCACCTGGCCAAACTGGTGGTGACGCTGGCTCTGATGCTCACACCACCAGTCTCTGGCCGGCCCCAGGACGGTGACGTGGTGGTGCTGGAGGCCCTGCCGTTCGCCCTGCCGCCCTCCCCTCTGGAGGCCCCGGCGGCCGGTACTACACTGGGGACGACAGCGCAGGACCCTGAGGGACCCCGGCTCAGGTCCAGTCAGGGGCCCGAGGGGTTCGCCTACGAGAGCAGCCATCCCGTCTTGGACGCCTACGGAGCGCTCACCACAGCGTGAGTTCTTCATGCCGGATTTGTAGCTGAAGTTACAGAATGCAGCCGTCCTTTGAGCGCAATCGTATTGAATTAATTAAATGCCTTTTGAGTTTTTCGGTCAAACACTGCTTTGAAGTTCGGATGAGCCGTTCTTGAAACAGTAACACTTTGGTGAGGTAAATACTTCCAATGTTTTTCGCCAGGATAACGGCTTCTATCTATGTGTGCATTCTCGATGGCGGCACAAACCATGTGTATATTTTCCTGATTGGGTTCGATAACCCATCTGCCTCCTCAGAAACCGATCCATTTATCAGAACATGTCCCAATTATCGCCCGGCGGGGTAACATTATCGCCCGGCGGGGTAACATTATCGCCCCGTTCACCGAGCTCCACTGTGCTCTGTAATCAGCGTCCTTAGGCCCGGCCGGGAGCGGCCACTCCTTCACCCGGGGCGCTCTCGAGCGGCGTCATGAGTCTTCAGTTTGAACCTCCGGCGCGGTGGGACTAAACGCTGCCAGTTTTTATCTCGACCCCCTCAAGGAGAGCGTCTCGGTGCGGGTGAATGACCCCTGAAGGAGATACGCGCCTTCAGGGCGCTGATGAGACAGCTAAGGAGACCTGGGGGGGGGGGGGGTGCAACGGTGGTACTCGCTTTGCGAACTGGCTCTAGAGGTGCCGGAGCAGAGGTCGTCGGAAGACTCGGTCAGAAATCTCGTCTTCGTTTGAAGGCCGCCTAAAAGTGTTTGTCGACTGTTTCATTGAGGTGGTTATGGTACAATTTTGAGTTAGTTGATGAGTACCGACGACTGAATGTCTGGTCTGGTCTGGTGTAACCTGATGGATAGCTTTGGGAGTTGTCATTGGAAACCTGTTTAGAGGACCTGTTTGAGGGCTGGATTGTTGCTGTTTCTATACAGATAGGGAGAGTAGGGGAAGATGAAGAGTTCTGAAGAAATGTTGATAACGATTGTGGACAGTGCTCCCATTGATTCGCACGGATGATGTCTCAACTTTCTAGGATTGCCGACAGTAAACACATTTAGCTCCGATTATTGCCCAACAAATCTTTCTTTCGGACATTTATCGCCCACCTCCAACATCCTTCACATACACAACACCTGCAGAACGCTGCCCTCATGCGATTGTCATTCCATCATGAGCATCCTAAGCATATCTGACTAGGTGGTCCCCTGCCTCCGACATTCCACCTTCCCTTACCTACCGGATCTTCGCAGCCACCGCTCTCGTCAGGGGAAGCCACATTTCTTCACGAGCTACGATCCCATCAGGGTGTTGAACTACCGACGTGTCTTGTCGTGACTGGGCGGTGCACTGGCTAATGGACGATTACAGTTGCCAAGATGGAGCTCTTTGCTAGCCAGGGACCGCGTGATACGCTCTCTGGAGAGCATGGAACGCCATGGACAGCACGACGCAGAGGTTGAGATTCTGCTGAGTAGTGATCAGCGTTGGATGTGAATGGCACATTTGCATGGTTTGGGTGGGGAACGGGATAGTATGGGGATGGCATGAAGTTCAGGGATACCCGGCACTACGGAAGACTGAAATGGACTGCCAAGATGTGTGTCAAGAGATGCATCAGTGACATGCCGTTTGACTGACATGATGCCTTTTTCAAAGACATTTCATTGTCTGCAATAAATAAGCCTGGTTCAATCTGTAACGGATAAAATTACAGCTATCGACCCTTTTATGGAGACATTTAATACCTCGCCTGCGCAAACAACATTGGTCACAGATGAGTGCCCCTCAACCCAGCAGTGTTGACAGCTGACCGCATAAAACATCATTAGCATCAGAGTGCGTGTCACTTTACCACATCCCCTGCGTAGTAATCGTAACACGAGTACGATGCAACCACTAGCCAAAGGTGTGCAGAGCGAGAGAGAGAGAGAGAGAGAGAGAGAGAGAGAGAGAGAGAGAGAGAGAGAGAGAGAGGGAGAGAGAGAGAGAGAGAGAGAGAGAGAGAGAGAGAGAGAGAGAGAGAGAGAGAGAGAGAGAGAGAGAGAGAGAGAGAGAGAGAGAGAGAGAGAGAGAGAGAGAGAGAGAGAGAGAGAGAGAGAGAGAGAGAGAGAGCAGCACTGCAGTTCACGGTTGCCTTGAAAACGATCCTACGGCTTCTAACGCGTAAATGCATGAACAACAGCGTAACGCTTGGTTGGTGTCGAATGTTGAATAACAAAATAATGTTACAAAGCAAGCGTGGTTAGCATCACGAAAAGAAAACACACAATTTACAATTCACCATTGCTGGATGAGAGGGCAAGTTGTAACGATTTGTCATATTTGTTAGTGTTATTGCCGATTAAATTAGCAGTGCAAGAGAAGTGCAAAGGCGCTTCTATTCTTAACTTCTCAACAGAAACAGTTCAGATCACTGTTCAACATTCTCAAACTCTATAAGACTCTCAGTTTTCAGCATCTCACTACGCACTTTTCCAGTTTCAAGAGTAGCCGCAACTTACTCTACTAACAAACACAGCACTCAGACTCATCAAATTCCGCTCATGTTTTTTTACGCGAAGGTCATGCATCGACAGCTTACAATCTGCGCTAAAAAGCTAATCTATCACGTCTAATTGCAAAAGCCTCACACGTTTCACTACTCAACGCAAACGAGTCATCCATCAACGCAAACGAGTCTTCAATCACGTGCAGTAATGAGTCTCTGCACCTCTGGAGGATAATCACCAGGAAGCCGCTATCATTGAGCTGTGATAATCCTCTTGGCTCAAACCAGACACTTTTGACCGGTCACTGACTATGACAGGCCATGTGAAATAAATGACAGCTCAAAGAGAGAATTTAACAGGTGTTCGATGTTGACACTTCTTGAAAATCGATGGAAATCAAAGATTTATTTACATGCGCAATCCAATGTTGGGTCCTAACCATTTTTTGTCGACCGTTTAAATTTCGCTGGACACTAAATGTGTACAGTGATGACCTATTAAACAGAACGCCGACGAAGATATGAGTGATAGGGACGGGTTCGAAACATAGTTATGAATACTCGGTCTTCCATTTTATTCGAAATAAGCAGAATGACAATCAACTCCACTGTTCACAGAAATACAATTAATGTCATTATAATGAAATTGAGAGCTAGCCGTCGTTCTTCAAATTAGCAATATCTGTTAATTGGCAAGCATCCTGTGCTTTGGACTGCTGGATACGCTTTATCGACATCTCTTCAGATGTCTCCACAATTTGGCGGCAGTACAACTGAATGCCCGTCGGTCGAGTACTTACCTTGAATGTGCAAACCTCCCAAGGTCACAGCTGCATGTGGTCAAGTGGCGTTGGGCGCAATTATTCTTGGACACAATCTTGAGCATCGAGTCACATCTGACAACTGATGCCATTGTGTGAGATGTGAAGTTTTATTTGATTGGGTGACAACTTGTTGAAAGGTTTGATTTATGTGAGAAGTAGTTAGTGAGTAGGGTATAGTGTGTTATTTTGATGTAAGACAGTTTAAACTTCTCCTACAAACCGTTCTAATCTGACTCGTTTTAATCCGACTCGTTATAAGTGTTTGGTCCGAATTGGTTCTCGAAACCCGAAGAACTTTGTAATAAACACCTACAGTAACATTATCCATGCGTTCTACGTTTAGTTTTTTTTTCATCGAAGAGTTCACTTGGAAATAACTTTTTTTCTGAGTCCCAAAAACGAGTTTTGGTGCTGAGTCCTTACACAAAGCGGTTTACACAATACAGCAAAACTAACAATAGATAATTCCACCTTGTTCAAAGTTTCAAAAATTCTCCAAAACCAATCAACTCCATCTCTGACTGTCCACTGTCCAGTGTCGTCGACTGTTGCGTCTCGGATCAGCGCGTGGCTCAGTGCTCATCGTGGGACGATTCTGACCGACTGTCGGTGGTGGCTCACACACTCGCCCGTCTACGAGTGGGCGTGGCCCGAAACTAGTTCACAGAGAGTGGGCGGGGCAACGGGTGAAAGTAAACTGACCGGTCGGCCGGCGGAAGAGCGGTTTGAAACATAAATGTCGGCTCGTTGGTCTAGGGGTATGATTCTCGCTTAGGGTGCGAGAGGTCCCGGGTTCAAATCCCGGACGAGCCCACCGTTTAGACCTAATAACGGTCAACATTGCGCAATAGTGATATGATGCAATGATGCACATTGCTGAGAATTGGCAATTCGCTCTTCGTGCGGCCGCGCGTAATCGGGCCGCGCATGCGCCCTCGGTCAGAGCAAATGCGAATTTTTTGGTGTATGTTCCTCAAACTATTCCAGCTTTGTTTGAAATATGTACTTACGAGTGTCAATATGCATTCTCTGCAATGCTGACATGCGTTCCTCATGCCAACCGTTCATATGTGTATGTCAGCCGTGTACCAATAAAAAATGTCACTCGTGCCTTGGAAACAATCCGGAAAACAAGACAAAATGTAAAACAAAGTCAAGCTCGTAAAAACAAACCATAATGTATGACAACTAAAGCCCCCCCCCCTGTGTACCCCGCTGGTACCGACAGGACCCAGTACCACGCCCAGGACGGCCTCGGCAGGTACCGGTACAGCTACCGACAGCCCGGCTCGACGCGAGAGGAGTACGTGGACGAAAACGGCCGCATCCAGGGCAGCTACTCGTACGAGATGCCGAACGGTGAGTTCTCAGTCATAAATGTAGAAGTGTCAGAGTGTAGCAGCTCCTATGAATTTTAGCATTGTGGATGCTTCCCATTTTTTGTAATCGCTTTCCCTATATCGTTAATCGTTTTGCTGTTGAGTTTGCGTTCTACAGTTACCGTCCTCTTCCTGAACCATTGACATGTAACATCCTCATAACATCTTCCTGGAACGTCAGAATATCACAGCATGTAACCCCTTCTGTTCTATCCACAGACGAAAAAGTATCATTGACTTACTACGCTGACGACACTGGCTTCCACGTGAAGCGCGCCGTGCTGCCAAATTTGGCAGCGCAGGCGCCGCGCGACGAACCCGAGGTGGCGGCGATCAAGGCGGCGCACACGCGATTGTGGCGCAGGATGTGGGCACGTGCCGCTGCCGCCTCGGTCGGCGCGCCCTACGACCCACTCGAGCTGGAGGCGGAGGTCAGTGCAGCTAAAAAGGCAGAGCATATAAAACAGGTGTTCGCTTTTCATTAGTTTTGCTCCAATGTAACCCAAAATATCAGTAAGATCTACAGCATCTTAAGCGCAATTTTAAAAAGTTAAAGACCAAATTCAAAACGTTCACGTGCATTTTGAAAGTAAACTTTTTGAATTTGGCCTTTAACTTTTTGAAATTGCGCCTAAAAAGGTGTTGGTACGCTGCTGCCTGTGCTGTGAAAGCAAGCTGTAAATACTAAAAGGGAGATGATGTGGCATACAAGTGTTGCGTTGCAAGGATATACCTACAAAGCTTTCAACTTTCCGTTTCCAGCTTATTGGACACTATAAGCTCTGGCCACATTATTAACCGTTGAGTGAATCAGGGTGCAAAATAATAGCTGCCGATCGAGTTCGTTTGTGAGGAGCGCTGCCGCTGCACATAATCGACGTTTATTTCTTATCATTTTGCTCCATTGATTTATCATCTTCCGACAGGTGTTCGAACCGGCTGCCTCTGGCTCTCTCGAGTCGGACATCATCTCATCCGATCCCAGCGACGATCAGCTGACTGAGGAGGTCATCGGCGCTGACCCGACCCCGGGTCAGGCCGCGCTCCCGGCCGACCCGGCGCCGGTCCAGGAGGACGAGGAGGAGGTGGTGGTACCCATCTTCCCCGGAGGGCCTGACGCGCCTTCAGTGCCCGTCTCCAGCGCACCGAAACCCCTCACTTCGGGAGCGGCCGGTCTGAGTATACCCGACTCAGAAACCGTGGTGGTTACCGCAGCCAGAGATGGAGACTTTGAGGACTTCAGCGCCCCTGGCGGCGACCAGTCGCAACAGCAGTTCACCAATCTCCCACTGCAGCGAGTGGGGGCGCTGCGGCTGCGCGGTGCCTTCCCCCCGCCGTCAAATCTCTCTCCATTCGTAGCGGCAGCTTCTGAGCCTTCCCCGACACGAGTCGACCTCCGCACCTCCGACCCGACCGCTCCCGAAACCCTCCCCTCCCCCTGGCTGACCCGGGTCGGGGGCGCGCTCCCCGCCCCTGCCGTTCGGGTCTCAGACGAAGCGGCTCGCGCGGGTCTTCTACCAGTCGCCGAGCGTCACAGTCTGGCGCAGGTGCGCCCCTCGCAGCGCCGCCCGCAGGATGAGGTAGTGCCTGTACTGGATGACCCTGTGCTGTATGAGTATTCGAGCCTTCTTTATGCTGCCAGACAGCAGGCTGCGCCGCCGCGGATTGTAGTCGTGTAAGATGATTTGATATGGGTTGGACTTGGAAACTGTGCTTTTAGGCTCAATCTGGGACTGGATTTGATTTCATCTAACCTGATGAGACAAGTGGACACTCTAAAGTTTATCTGAGTGCCACTTATTGCTGTAACTGACCTGTTTTAAATTCACTAACCATATGAAGCAATTTGACTGCACTGGATCTGACCCTCACCCAACCTGACCTGACGTGACCTGACTATATGATGTCTTATTGGCATCAAAACACTTAACCCGCGCCCCGTAGGGCTACCGGCAGACCCTACCACCCGTAGGGGGGGGGGGGCCGTTTCGGCCCCCCCCTAAGATCTCGGAAAGTTACCGGCCGATTTTCAAAATTCAAACGGCGTTCGATAGCCCCACCCGGGAACTACCTTATGACCAAATTTCATTGACCTAGGTCAAACCGATGACGTCACAGGTCAGGTCAAAGGTCAGATTTTCACCGTTCACAGGCAATTCAAGAAATGTGCTGTGAAAGCGAGTAAATTGGTAATTTATTGAAAACCATCGATGGTACATTGTTCGTCAAACACATACTTTGCTATCTGAGGTCACTGATACCAGGTCAGGTCACAGCGAGGTCAGGTCACCGGGGGTCACAATATGAATGTGTCGTGTGATACATGTTTTATGGTCCATTTTACATGACAAATGCGATTATGTGGGTTAGGCAGCCTTTGGGGCCAGCCTAGGTCACGTTTTGGTGAAGGTCAGGTCAAGGTCAGGTCAAATTAGGTCAAATTTCAAAGTTGATATTTTTGCATAAAATGGGCATCGATTCGATGCAGCTCGTCACGGGGAGTCTAATGGTGGTCTTCGTTTTGCTCTACGAGTTCTAGAATTGCCAAAAATTGAGTTTGAAAATTTGACGTCATCATTTTTGAACAGTTTTTTCGCTATAACTTGGCCAAAAAACGAGGTATCGAGCTGAAATTTGGTATGTAGATAGAAGACGGTAGGCACTATCACATATATTCCGGTTTTTTTTCGAAACTCAAAAAACTTTTTGGATTTTTTGGCGAATATATCCAAAAAAATGCTTTTTTGATTTTTGGGGGCCAAAACCCAAAAAATTCAAAAATTCGAGATAGCAGTTTTGTAGCCCTGTCAATTCTACACCTTTTATATCTTGATCATTTTTCTGTATCTTCAAAGCTGTAGTCCTGACAGGTCTTCTCGCGAAGGTCTTTTTTCGGTCGAAAATGACAGAACATGACGTCACTCTGACGTCATTTGTGGCCAACCTATCATAGCCTCTGGAAAAATTTTTGGTCACAATGTGTAAAATTGATGCCCGGAGGGGTCCTGAAAGTTTGGTGGCGATATCTCCAGCCGTTTAGGAGATATCGACCGAAAAGGACAGGGGGGGGGGCCGTTTCGGCCCCCCCCTACGGGGCGCGGGTTAAGTAGACTTTGTTTGCGCATCTGACACTGGAAGAGCTCGGTTTGATATTATGCATTATTGAAATGCAAGTGCATTCACCTTTAGATGCCAACTTTTTGTCCTCTGCACGCTAGCTGTCTACTTGTGTGTGACAAGACACATTTTCAATGTTCGACAGGCTTAGGGACTTCACACTTCTGTCAACAGTTTTAGGTGTTGAATCGTTGTAGAATACGCCAAGGGCACGGAAAATCATGAAAAAGATGGTAGCATTGACAGGATACACATGCAAGTTCTTTCGGTGATACAAGGGCATTTTGTCATTAGAGACGTGCTGGCACGCTATGATTAGCTTGGAACTGGCATTACTGATATCACCTGTGGCATTTCTCATTTCGTGTGACACGAAGCAATAAAGAGGCGATTGTCTTTCGTCGTCGTTTGTTCTGGTTTGGACGATCATATGCTTTAGTTGACGACCGGTTACTTAGCTGGATATGGATAGTGGATACAATAGTAAAAGCTGTCCAGGCACAATTACTACTGCGACCTTGAATCATTTCTTCATAAGCCCGTGGTTGTATTACAAGATGATTTATGTCACGAGTATTCCTACGCTGTTAAAACAAAGCCAACCTGGGAATAAGTACGCGATCCACGAAAGTAAACAAGAGGTGACAGTTAAAATTAAATCGTTGCACAATACCAATGCAAATATTGGTACCGGAAGTGACGGGAGCTTGTAAAAGGCCTTTTTACTATTTTTTTTTCACACATAGTTAATTGACGACAAACATTCAAAAGACGGTGTAAATGGGAAAAACTTCAAACATAAAAGATTGGTTTTTACTCGATTCTGTTGTTTGTACTGGCTTCTAAAAAGGAGCAAATAATGACGAGACAATTTGTAATCAGATACAAGCCAAAACCGAATAAATCAGAGCCATTTTGCCGCATCACATTATGAAACTAAAAACACCTACCTCGTTCCTCCTCTCATCTTTCCCCTCCTCTAGCCGCCCCTCGCCGAAGGGGCGGGTGGCGTCCGCTAGCGTTCGGCATATCCGTATGGAGGTGACCTTCGTGGGGCGGAGGCTGCGGCGAGCATCGAACTCAGATCCTGGCATGGAGCCGCCGCCGAGGGCGTGGCCATTTGTCGAGGCCACGCCCTCGTCTCCGTGGGCCGTATAAAGGGGGCCGTCGGCGCCACACGGACATACACATTCGACGTGTCCCGCGGATCAGCATCATGTTCAGGCTGGTGAGTTCGGACGCTCTGAATCGGGGTTTAGTGGTAATACTTTGTTGAGAATCTCACTTCAGGTTTAATGATCGAGCAGTTGATGATGTTGAACTATATATAGTTTTCCCATATATGGGAACATTCTTCACGTTATTAGAAAACCAGCATTGTTCATTCTTGCTTCACTGCTTGCAATGACTTTGAAATTATCTTACTGCTTGGCCACCTCTTTGTTTCTTTGGCGTTTTTGGCTTGCCAATTTGGTGAACGTTTTATAGATTCCACCAAATAACGTTTTTCTGACTGTCGGACGTCTTTTCGCAGGTGGTCCTCGCTTGCGTGCTGGCGTGCGCGTTCGCGGCGCTGGTGCCGCTCGGCTACTCTGGCCTCGGCTACTCTGGTCTGGCGCACCCGGCTCTTGGCTACCGGCAGCCGGTCCTGGCCGCTCCTGTGACCTACAGCGGCGTGCCGACCGCCTACTCGGCGGCTGCGTTCCCCACCTACGAGACCGTCAGCCACAGCGTCGACATCACGCACGAGCCGGTCGAGCAGCACGGCTACGTCGTCAAGTATTAGGCCGCCGCTCTCACCCCACCACGCCCTGAACATTCTCTTCCAAGTCTGTGATCTGCTCCGTCGAGCTGGTTGCTATGGCGACAGCGTCGCGGTCACGTGACGAGTGACGTCATCTGTCTCCAGTGGACGCATCGAATGTGTATTTTTCACGCAAAATATATCTCATCATCATTACCGTAGTGCTGTTCTTTTGTTTGATGGAAAAGAAGAATGAACTGGTTGAGGGACATTGAATCGGAGTGTTGAAGAATTTTCAAACGATATTCTCAAACGATTAATCTTCTTTTCACGTCTGCAGAAAATTAATCAATTTTGCGGGAAATGCTTCCTTTAGGCACTTGCTAAAAAATTTTTTTTATTATACCTTTTAAGCTTTAAAACTTTATAATTTTCATTGTTAAAGGCTAACAACGAAACTTCTGTCATAATAGGTACGTTACGCATTATACAGCACTTCCTCATACATCGTTTATTTCAACGCCTATCCTATTTAGAGAGCGCAATAGCCGGCTCTGAATATAGACTTGTTGAGTGCGCATGCTAAGCGCGCGCACGTACACTAGCCAACTCACTTGTGTGAGCTTGCTTCAACTGGTGCTTAACGCCGAGACGACTTTGAGCGCATCTGCCGTTCATGCCATTGTCAGCTGTTCATGAGAGTAAGAACCGGCCCCTGCACGTGCGCGTGTGCAGTATGTAGTACATACCGCAATCGTGGTACTTGTAAATGCATCACCCGATATGTACAGTCCACAGCAGAAGTAATGTACGGTTTCAGTCATGGGTATGTTCTGCTTCTGAAGCTTAGGAACGATTAGCCAGACTACAATAAAACCTTGAATGCGGCTTACATATATGTATTTTCACTCTTGCAGCTGAAACTTTATCTACTGACGTCTTCTTTTCGATCACTCAGCATTAAAAAATCGACAATTAAAGCCATCCGTTGAGATTGGTAAAACGGCACATTAACTACAATAAAACTTTGAATGCAGCTTACATACATGCATTTTCACCCTTGCAGCTGAAACTTTATCTACTGACGTCTTCTTTTCGATCACTCAGCATTAAAAAATCGACAATTAAAGCCATCCGTTGAGATTGGTAAAAACGGCACATTACCTTAGCCGTGGACTGTGCGTACTAGCCCCGATAGGTAAAGTTCAAGGAGACTTAGCGCAGTCATTAGAAAGTTATTGGAGAGGGGAAAAGAATCAATATCCCTACTTGGTACGTGGCAGGCATGTGTCTGACGGCAACTCCAAGAATTGGTTTCTTAGCGGAAAGAATGGAGCTGACAAGACTGCTTTTGCACTCGACGCTCGTTAGAAGTATGAAATCCTATCCAGAACATGACAGGGCACAAATATTACTGGCAAGGTCGACAGAGAGGCGCCAGTCAAAAATTCAGGTAGGCCGTAAACTTCCGTGTTTTTTTTTAGACTCTCGAGTATTCTTCGCAATGCGCTTTGTTCCTGACAAACAAGGCGGTATCGTTCCGATGGAGCGTCGTCAATTTAGGTTCAATCATAGCAAGCCGAATACGTAATTCAATTTGACTTTCGTTTAATTCAAGCAGCAAGCAGGCCACATGCGTTGTCTCGTTTCTCGTCACCTTTGTCTAATTCGATCGAAGTGTAGCAAATAGTATAGTTTAGTAAAGTTGCTAAGCTGTATCTATTAATCAGTCATACCTTTGTGGAATGCTGAAGACGTAAGTTTTAAAGGCAAATTTAGCGTAACTTTTAACACTTGTTCTTTTTCTGTAGGACTTACTAATAAAAATGATTCTTGCGCAAAAGATCGCAGCTAGCCCGCGACCTGGTGGGGGGGGCTATTTTTTGCCCCCCCTCCAGACTTTTCGATATATCTCCAGAACCACTGCGCCGATCGTCACCAAACTTTCAGTACCCTCCCGGACATCAATTTTACACATTGTGACCAAAAATTTTTCCAAAGGCTATGATAGGTTGGCCGGAAATGACGTCAGAGTGACGTCATGTTCTGCCGTTTTCGACCCAAAAAAGGGTTTCGCGGGAAGAGCTGTCAGGCCTATAGCTTTGCAAATACAGAAAAATGATACAAACATAAAAGCTGTAGAATAGACAGGGCTACAAAACTGCTATCTCGGATTTTTGACATTTTTGGATTTTGACCCCCAAAAATCAAAAAATAGATTTTTTGAATATAATAGCCAAAAAATCCAAAAAGTTTTTTGAATTTCGAAAAAACCGGAATATATGTGATAGTCCTTACCGCCTTCTATCTACATACCAAATTTGAGATCGATACCTCTTTTTTTGGCCAAGTTATAGCGAAAAAACTGTTCAAAATTGATGACGTCAAATTTTCAAACTCAATTTTCAGCAATGCTAGACCTCGTAGCGCAAAACAAAGACCACCATTAGACTCCCCGTGACGAGCTGCATCGAATCAATACCCATTTTATGCAAAAATATCAACTTTGAAATTTGACCTTTTTTGACCTGACCTTGACCTGACCTCCACCAGAAAGTGACCTAAACCGTACCTGATGGTCTTATAACCAACACCATTGAGTTGGAAATGAAAAACTGGCCATAAAACATGCATCGCATAACCTTAGTAAAGTTGGGTTCATGTGGTGACCCTAGGTGACCTTTGGTGACCTGACCTGTGACCTGACCTGGTATGACCAGTGACCTCTAACAGCAACATATCTACTAGGCAACTGACGCCCTATCGCTGATTCCCGACAAAATGCGTTTTCCTCGGTGTTATAGCGCATTCCCTAGAAGACCCGTGAACGGTGAAACATTTCATCTTTGACCTGACCTGTGACGTCATCGGTGACCCCGAGGTCAATAAAATTTGGTTTCCCTTGACAAATTTGACAGGCCTTTCGAACGCCGTTTGAATTTTTCGGATCCGTCCAGTAGTTTCGGAGATACGAGGGGGGGGCAAAAAATAGCCCCCCCCACCAGGTCGCGTTATAAACAGACCCCACCAGGGCGCGGGCTAAATCTTACACACTTTAAGCTCTCTCGTGCATATTTTTTACACCATCCAACCATCGAAAATCCGAATTTCAGTTCTCCTCCGAGCCAGTCCACTGCTCCTCCCATTCCGGATCTGGACCTCCGCCTGCCCGCCTGTCTTGGACCGGTCGGGCGTGCCCTCCCCTCCCCCCTCCCCTCCCCTCCCCCCTCCCCCTTCCCTCCCCTCGACGATGCCCCCTCCCTCCCTCCCTGCCCGGCGGCAAGTCTCAGTTCCGCGTCCATCTAACAACACGCCCAGTAATGACGTCACAGCTGTGACGTCATCGTGGGTACACGCCCGCAGACGGTTGGTCAGAAGCTCTCGGACGGTTGCGGCTTCTTCCACAGACATCCTTGAGAGTCTCGTGTCGACCTTGAGGTCCTGTCCGACGCCGACCACACCCGGGCGGTTCCGTTCCGGCTAGCCGAGCATCCCGTCCTCTCTCTCTCTCTCTCTCTCTCTCTCTCTCTCTCTCTCTCTCTCTCTCTCTCTCTCTCTCTCTCTCTCTCTCTCTCTCTCTCTCTCTCTCTCTCTCTCCGGCGCATCCCACCCTCTTTCTTGGCCTGTGAGAAAGGGAGTCGGTGCTCTCTTTAGTGTTAAAGAGAATATAGTAGTGTTCAAGTGAAAACATTGAGAGATAATTGTTGTTCATTTGTGATTCGTCGTTGGAAGTTCATAAGTTCATTGGAGGGTGTGAAGTTTATTCAGTTCCAGAAACTCCATCTTTGTTTTAGGCTTTTCATCATTCTACGAATGCCGCACAGAGCTTCGATGATGTAGCGGCTAAGGTCACGAACAGACTTTATAAAGTCTATACTCTGTTCCGTTTCAAGTTTGCAGCCGAAGTGCCCTGCTGAAAACAATGCGTTATTTCTGTATATACAGCTCTTACATTTTAAGACGCAAATTCTTGAGCGGAGGAGTGATCTGCCACTATATAGATAGTTTATTAAGACCCTCCATTGACATGGTTTTTATGGTGTCTACGTCAATGACAAATAAACAGACATTGTAAAAACGCTTAGGCAAGACAGGTGCTACATAAAAAAATGACACACTGGCATAAAACAGTGAATATAAAACACATGTGAGAACCGTGCCTATACCTATATGACAAGTGACAGCTGACTACCTGTGGCTATTCCACGCACTCGCCGCACGATAAAGAAAACTTCGGCGGGCAAACTCGGTGCGGACCCGGGGCAGCTGCAGCCGGCCGTCGGACACGGCGCGGGTGCTGCGGGATGACACATCGGCTCGCAGTGCGAACTGTTGGCGCAGAAGTTCAGGAGTGATAGATGAGTCGATGATGCGAGTGACGTTTGCGAGGTCACGCTCGGCGATCAACTCGTCTACGGTGGGCCACCCCAGTTCCCGTAGCGCCGCAGTCACGTGATCGCGCCGTCTAAGACCGCTAACAATACGCGCACCAAAGTTAATAGCTTTCTGGATGCGACGCTTCTGTGTGACCGTACAGCTTCCCCACACACTTAAACAGTAACGTATGTGGGGAAATACTAGAGCTTCGATCATCAGCTGTCTTGTGCATCTCGGTAGCTTATGCCGGATCCTGGCCAGGCACACCAGCACGCAAAAGCACTTACGAACAACACCCGTGATGTGTTCATCCCAAATCAGGTGAGAATCGATGACGACCCCCAGAACCCTGACACTGTGGTTTGGTTTAAGCTCATCGTTTCCAAAATGAATCGAGAATGTTGAATCAAGATTTTGACGTCTAGATTTAATTATTATCAGTTCAGTTTTAGCTGGGTTAATTTTCAGACGATTTTGGGTGAACCATCTCAGTCCAACTGAGAGAGAAGTTTCGATGCGGTCCTTCAAGTTTTGCAAGTTTGTATAATAGTCAGTGTCAAGGAACTGGGTGTCGTCAGCGTACATGACTAATTTACCATGTGGAATGTGTTGAGGTAAATCATTGGTGAAAATCAAAAACAAAATCGGCCCCAAAATCGAACCCTGGATCACTCCATGGGACACGTTCATAGCAATTGATCCACCTCTCACACACTGTGTGCGTCCTCTCAGCCAGGCCGAGAACCATCCGGAGTCAATCCCGTACCAACCGAGTTTGTCCAGGAGACGGCCATGCTCAACGCTGTCAAAGGCCTTCGACGTATCAGCGGTGACAAGTGACGTCACGCGGCCACTATCGATGTTCGTCACCGCGTACGTAACAGCATCGAGCAGGGCCGCCTCCGTGGACAAACCCGGCCGGAACCCGTACTGCTGGGGACACAGGATGTGGTGCTCGCTTAAATACGTCACTAGCTGGGAGCAAACAACTCTTTCACACAGCTTGGCGACAACAGGCCTTGGATCTGCCGAAGAAACTCCAACTGCAAGCTTGATATGGAACAGGCTATAGACATCTTTAAAAAGTTCATGACCTAGTTGTCAGAGCAAGTGAGCTATTCTGAGAGCCTAATTGGCCGGTATGTGAACCATTTACACTGGCGCCCTCTGCTTGCCAAAACTCACATTTGGACCTGCTGCAGCACGACTGCTTATCTTTGGCATTGTCCCTTTTAATTCAACTTAATTGAGTCTTCAGCTCCCGTAACTTCCTGCCAAGGCCCTAAAACATAAGAACCTTCCTGCGAAGATTATGACACGTGTTTAGCATACTTATCACACCGTTCGAAAGCCAACGGCTAGCAACATTTACTAACAACAAAGACCATAACTGCCGTTTGCAAACCTAACAGTTCGTTTGTCTTCTGTTCATCCCCGATTATCCGTATCGTCTGAAATATGTGCGATTAGATACCGTCTCTAATCACAGCCTTGGTGATGACCTAGACACACCCAGACGACGCCGGCCCTTCCCTTCCCAGCGGCACGGAGCGGCATTCGATCGGCGACCGCGTCTCTCTCTCTCTCTCTCTCTCTCTCTCTCTCTCTCTCTCTCTCTCTCTCTCTATCTCTCTTTGTGTTAACTTCTTACTCTAGTTCCTTTGTATTTCTCCCTTTGTCTTTCGTTTCTCTCCTCCGTCATCTATTTCATCTCTCTGTCTATCTTGCTTCTGTTCCCTTCCTCTCATTTCCATCTCTTTTCATTCTCCTTAATCATCTTTTCTTTTCTCTCCATAACCTCACTTCCTTGTTTCCTTGATTTTTCCCCGTCTTTCTTTCCAATCCCTATACCATGTGCTCAGAATGCCCCTGAAGACCTGTTTCGACCTAAGGCAAGCAATGTAATCGCCACACATGAATTGTCACTGCAGTAGTTCTGCATAATAGAAGTTAAGATTTACGAAATCTGAGGATGAGGCTCCTCTGCGGTTTCGCTGTATTACACATATTGTTGCTTTAATATCTTCATCGTTTGGCAGGTGAAGACGTCAGCACAGTGGATAGATCACCGTTCTCAGAATTCCCAATGTCACCTCCCCGCCAACATCCACTTATTGTTTTGTGACGGCCATTTTTGACGTGCTTCAGTTTTCCGCAATGTAGTGCCGACCGAGCGAAGCGTCTATTCAATTATATTACCTTTATAATCGGCTATCTATGCTGGGCATCCAATATTCCAGAAAAAACGTCATATGCTCCATTGCACGCTACGTCGGATTTTACACGTGTCTTTCGTTGAACAATAAGCGCTTATTTGGTCTGTGTGCTGCGCAGTTGTTTGAGCTGCGGTTTGCGATTGGGGAGGCTCACCTCTATAAAAGACTCCTTTGCCCCTCAGTGGGCTAGTACAGTGCTGGAGCTCAGCAACGATGCGTCGTGTCTTGCTTTCCGTCGCGTTCTTAGCAGCAGTTGCGTGGCTTCAGCCAGGTAAGTTATTTTTTATGAAACAAATAGGACATTTTTTGGCCATATTGATTGGAGTTTGTTGCATCTATATGCTTATGGATACATCTACTTTTGGAAAAAAACATAAACAATGTTTTATTTTTCTTCGTTGCATCTTTTACGCAACGATCTTCAAACTACTCTTACGTGTACTCAAAAGATAACTGGTTTAAAAATGTCCATCTTTACTCATAATTTGTTAATATTACCACGTAAAAAAAGCAAGTAGAGTGTAGACGTATAACCAAACTAAAGGCACAAACAATAAAATGCCTGACTAATCATACGTAATTTCCCATTTCAGCTGAGGCCTCGCCGCCAGTGCAATGTCTGGCCATCGGCTGTATCTGCGAGGGCTGTCCTTATGGTCGCAAGTGCACCTTCTGTCCGAACCTGGGCCAGTCTTGCTGCGTGCCTATAGGCACCTCTCAGTACCAGCTAAACTATGCCTGTCTACAGGCACCTGACTGCCAGAGACAGTACCCTGGACGCTGAGCTGAGAACCGAGGGTCACCGAGTGGCGGAGATCAGAGTGAAGACGGGTGTGGAGATGGGGGAAAGGTGTTGGGGTTTGTTGACCGCCTGTCTCTAAAAAAGGGGAAGTGTGGAAATGTGGTGACCAAAGGTGATCAAGTATTTAAAGTGGCATTTGCAGCACACTCATGTCTATTAATGTCAAGCATCGTTTTTACGTGAATGTATTGATAACTGAAAAGTCGAGTATTTTTATTCATATTTTTGATGATCATTGCATGTATGTTTATGCAGCTGTGTATGGACGACTGCATGGATGTGAACACTCTTTCACTATCCTATGCTGGTTTTTCACGAGGTATCAGATCAAGGCAGTCATTTGTGAGATAAATCTGAGAAAGAAGCAAATTTCAAATGATACCGACTTACGTTTCCTCTCCTAGAAACGGCTGATTCGCGTCGCTGCCTTATGTCTTATGTCACAGTATCAAATAAAACTTAAGTATGCAGAAAATTTTCGATTATCAGATGACGGCAGCCGTTGTTTGTGAGAGATATGTGCGATTAGATACCGTCTCTAATCACAGCCTTGGTGATGACCTAGACACACCCAGCCCACGCTGGCCCTTCCCTTTCCAGCGGCACGGAGCGGCATTCGACCGGTGACCGTGTCCCTCTCTCTCTCTCTCTCTCTCTCTCTCTCTCTCTCTCTCTCTCTCTCTCTCTCTCTCTGTCTCTCTCCCTCCCTCTCTCTCTCTCTCTCTCTCTCTCTCTCTCTCTCTCTCTCTCTCTCTCTCTCACATCCCTTCTTCCCCTGTCTCTATCTGTCTTCCTCTCTCACTCTCTCCACACGTAATGCGAGTGAAGTAATTAGCTCCTCAGGTTTGAGCTTTACCAGATGTAAAATAGGATCCCTTGTGACGTAGCTACGATATGTTAGGATAAATGATAACAATAACACGTCAAATGTATATTGAAACACACAAAGCTTTCGGTATGAAAATACCTTGATCACTGTGTAAACAGAAATGAGGACAGAAATAGTCACCGGCAGCTTGTACAAAAATATAAAATAGCACTCGAAAAATAGATCACAATCACGAGATTATCTATCGGGGTCCTGCCACTAAGCTTACAGCGCATGTTGCTAAAGTTATAAATCCAGTCCTAGTATTGATGGTATCGCGTGCTGATATGTGAGCCGCTTCTAAGATTTTTCGTGTCGTTTTTCGTGCGCCCTTCTCTAATAATCGAGTTGCTCCCCAGTTCGGTAAATGATGAGATTGTTCGGCATGTACGACGATTGCGTTCGATGTTCGATGAAACTTAAGGTCACTTTTATGTTCTTTAAGTCTCGTTTCGACCCCCCTCCCCGTTTCTCCCACGTAGCTTTTGTTACACCCACCACAAGGAATTTCGTATACTACACTTTTCGGAGAATCGGATGTGTCGGACGTCTCTTTCGGTCTTCGTTTAATCATCTCGTGTATCTTCGTTCCCGTGTTCGTTGCTACTCGTATGCCTGTCTTCTCCAGTGATTTAGAAATAACCTCCGCGCTCTTGAAGTTTGGAATCGATATCCATTTTCGCTTTTTCCTTCCTTGTTCTTTTTCCTTTTGTTTTGGGTTCTTCTTTATTCGTTCGGCCTTTTGCTTTTGCCGAATGAGATACCCCTTCGGGTATTTCAGTTTCGTGAAAGCGTTGTAAATATGTTTAATCTCTTCGTCCAGGAACTCCTCATCACAAATTCTCATTGCTCGTAAAAAGAAACCTATAACTATACCACTTTTCACACGTTCACTGTGGCCAGAGTAAAAATGAACATAATCTTCTTTGTTGGTTGGCTTGTTGGTTGTTGGTGAATAAAGAAGAACCCAAAACAAAAGGAAAAAGAACAAGGAAGGAAAAAGCGAAAATGGATATCGATTCCAAACTTCAAGAGCGCGGAGGTTATTTCTAAATCACTGGAGAAGACAGGCATACGAGTAGCAACGAACACGGGAACGAAGATACACGAGATGATTAAACGAAGACCGAAAGAGACGTCCGACACATCCGATTCTCCGAAAAGTGTAGTATACGAAATTCCTTGTGGTGGGTGTAACAAAAGCTACGGGGAGAGAAACGGGGAGGGGGTCGAAACGAGACTTAAAGAACATAAAAGTGACCTTAAGTTTCATCGACCACGAATCGAACGCAATCGTCGTACATGCCGAACAATCTCATGCATTTACACGAACTGGGGAGCAACTCGATTATTAGAAGGGCGCACGAAAAACGACACGAAAACATCTTAGAAGCGGCTCACATATCAGCACGCGATACCATCAATACTAGGACGGATTTATAACTTTAGCAACATGCGCTGTAAGCTTAGTGGCAGGACCCCGATAGATAATCTCGTGATTGTGATCTATTTTTCGAGTGCTATTTTATATTTTTGTACAAGCTGCCGGTGACTATTTCTGTCCTCATTTCTGTTTACACAGTGATCAAGGTATTTTCATACCGAAAGCTGTGGTTTCAATATACATTTGACGTGTTATTGTTATCATTTATCCCTAACTGTCTTGGATATTCTACGAATATGTTGTTGTTTGCGCTTCTATCTTCC